CAAAAGCCGAAGACCAGACCCCCAAAATATCGATAGGAAAAGAGCACTTACATCAGTGGGGCGCATCACACGACGGATCTGTTCCATCGAGTTCAAGTCGGGACTCAGACCTCCGTGCATGGTGAAGATCTTCTCATCGATGATAGCCGCAATGGGGAGACAGTTGAAGCAGTCCGTGAAAGTCTTCCACAGCTTAATGTTGTACCGCCGCTTGCACTCATCGTAGAAACCATAGATACGATTGATGGAGGCGCACTCGTGGTTACCACGGAGAACGAAGAAGTTCTCGGGGTACTTGATCTTGTAAGCCAAAAGGAGGCAGATGGTCTCCAGCGACTGCTTGCCACGGTCAACGTAGTCACCCAAGAACAGGTAGTTGGCCTCGGGCGGGAAGCCACCGTATTCGAAAAGACGTAGGAGATCGTAGTACTGGCCGTGGATATCACCGCAGATCTAATAAGCGCCATCGGATTAGTTTCCCCGCGAGAGATAGACGCGATGACCCGGACCTCTGCCGGGACAAACGAGGGATGGCGTTATACCTTGATGGGTGCCTCCAATTCCAGCAGTATGGGCTGCGAGATGAAAATTTCCCTAGCCTTGGTGCAAAGATAACGGATCTCCGACTCCAGAAGCTGAACCTGCTTGCCAGGCCGGCTGCCCCTCACCTCCAACAATCTATCAATGATCGAGTCCAAATCCACGTCTTGATCGGCCATGTTTGAGCGACTCCAACGAGAGACGACGCAGGAAGAAAACGGAAAAGTGCGAACCGAAAAAAAAGAACGAAAAAAGAAAAAGAGAAAAAGAAAAAGAAAGGATCAATTAACACAAGTGTTGGGCAACGGAAGAAGAAAAGAAAGGGCGCGAAAAGGGAAGCTTTGCGGAGGACTCGGTAGGCGATACGATTTGATGACGCGGCGTCTATAGGCTGTGGCAGCGAAAATATAGAGATTAGAAATATTCCAGAAAGTTCAGAGCAGACTTTGAAATAAGGTCTAGCAAAAGGCGAGGAGAGAAACGCGTGATCAATGCGCCCGGGAAATTTTTTCTTTTCTTCAAGCTGGTTGATCTTGGATGGCGGGTGAAACGGGGCGAGACGGGGAGAGGAGGGGTGAGAAGTTGGCAAGTAGTAAGAGTTAAGAAGTCGGCTTACCAAACAGAATCTAAAAGAGACAAGGGGAAGTTAAAAGCGGCAACAGGCCAAATGGCCTTGGGGACACTGAGAAGATCTGACAGCGATGCCAGACGCCGATGAGAAAAGCAAGCGGGCTTGGATAAATTTTTCACACGGGAGGGAGGATGAAGGCGAAGCGCGTTGATAACGGCGAGATGCGGCTAGCAGGGTTTGAGAGGAGAAAGATATCGCTGGGCGAAAGACTGCTTCTGGACGGGGCGGTTGCAAAAAATAGCAGCCGGCGGCGGGAGAGAAACGGGGTGGGTTGGGGAGAAAAACAAGGGCCAACAAGCGAAGCCGAGATTGGAGGCGAGCTCTTTTTTTCCTTCGAAGATGGGTGGAAGAAGAGCGCTGGGGAAGTGGGAACGAATCCTATTTCTTCTGCACCTGATGTGGCGTGAGGGGTGTGTAAAAGAACCGATCAAAGTCACGTAGAAGGGGGAAGAGAAAAGATGGAAGAGAGGGAAGAGGGAGGGAGGGAGGGAGAAGTGTAAGAGGGTGAGGGTGTCAGTGACAAGAGAGAGTGAGAGTGAGAGAGAGAAAGGGCGCGCGAGCAGCTGGGATTGATTGTGTTTGGTTGCCGGCAATCAAGGGATCGATCGATCTCTTCCTTTCTTTCTTTTGCAAGGCTTCTGGGAAAACCGTCCGAGGCTGAAGAAAGATTTTCGCGCCAAATTCCACGAGAAACAGGAGAACCACGAGCAGACAGAATGCGAAGAAAGCAAGCAAGATAGAGATAGATGATAGCAAGATTTGGGGGGGGAGGAAATGGGGAAGGGGGAAGAGAGGACGGCAGTAACGAAGGAGGACAAGCTCACCAGTTGAGACGCGCGCGAGAGGACCAGCAGCAACCTGGACTGGGCGAGAGAGGGAAGATGAGAGACCAAAGCAAAGCAAAGCAAAGCAAAGCCAAAGCAACGCAACGCAAAGGGAGGAGGAACTCTTGATGAGAGTCCCGGATGGCAAAACGGAAGGGCCCCGGCCTCACTGTTGATTCTTTTGATTGGCTCATCGCCCGGGCGGCGGGCGGCGCGCCATTCAGTAAACAGTAAAGCCTTCATCTTCATGGTGTGTGTCTTCTCTACTAATACTAAAACAGTAGATACTACTAACTCTCTCCTTCCAACGGTCTGTCAACGTCTCGACTCTCGTCTCTTAACTCTCTTTCGCATACCCCTCCTTCTTCAGGGGACTACATCTCCGCTTCATCCTCCACCGTACTTTTGTCAAAAACTCTACATCCTTACTAACTACTACTATTTGACCTTACAACCCCAGATCTTCTTTCTCTTCACTCTACGGCACCACCTCCCTGCTGCAAGGGAGCACCGCCAATCGATGCCGCATTTCCCCCCTCTTTGCAGCAGTCCAGCTTCTTCTACCCTCTCAAACAACGATTCCCATGGCGCTGAAACCGTGTGTGGATTCTCGACATGCCTGCCGGTGATCTACCTACCTGATGTACATATACATTATGTACATCCATACTTCGGACCTACTTACGTATGCCCATGATCCCCCTCCCTGTTGTCGCACGAGCACTTGCATGCTTCGCTTCAACGCCTCAACCTCCCTTGGGTTCCTCCATCTAAAAATCCCCGGGGTGTACCTGACAAGCACTTATCTATGGCAAATCTACCTCGGATTCTACACCAGTGGGGGCTTCCTTCTTTACTGGCCCCCCCACCACCCTTCTTCAACTCTACGTGTGACACACCTGATCCGAAAGCGCCCATGGCGCATTGCATTTCAACTATTGGCGCTACCGCGGGGAAGAGAGAACATCTGATCTGACTCGTCACAACATCTTCGTGTCTCATGCATTAGATCCGAATCTCATCATGGGCCATGGCGGTCCCAGAAAATAATCCGTAGAAAACGGCAGCACGCCAAAAGGAAGAAAAGAAAACGTGAAGAGGAGAAACAACTTGAGTATACATCCTGAAGGATCATCGCGTGCGCGGAATGTCATGTGCAAGCAGTAGAAACGGGTAACAGTCAAGACACAACGAGCAGTACCGAAAAAGCGAAGCATCACGTCGTATATAAATCAAGACACCAGTTGAACTCCGGGACACCCGCACTCCTGCCCAAAATACAGTACAAGCCGTCTAGAACAAATAACAACAAAAAGTAATCCTATCAGATGGACCAGCCGGGAACGGTCGGATGCGGGCCGTAGGTGGTGTATAACCGCGGCGAAGCAAGAGAGGAGTGGGAGAAGGAGGAGAAAGATGAAGGAGGAAAGAAGAATCAATCGTGTGTTCCACGCATCCGGGCCGTAAGCTCTGAAAGATCACCTAACGCCGTGAATGATGCAGTTCAGCAACCAGCTGCCGTAAGCATGTCGTTAAAAGGTTTGCGTGAATGAGGTCGAGTGTAGTCAAAAACCGGAAGGTATCGTGGAAGAACTGCGTTTTTCGAAGCCAAACCGAACTTTTCTCTGGGGTGTGAAAGGTGTAAACCGAAATTCCAGACTTAGGAACGACCATGGATGAGGTCAAGATGTTCTTTGCTCCCTTGTTCCTTCGATCTCTCTCTTTGTCCTCTTGTCTTTTCTTTCCTATTTTTCTCTTCGTTGTTTTCAACTTTTTTTCCATCGATTTTTCTCTCTTTTTTTTATAACTTAATGGCCCTTTCGACTGTCGTCTTTCTGCAGTCAATTTAGGGCATGGCCACCACTCAGGATGACCTGGGGATTCACCCTGGTCAGGGGGTCCACTGGGATCCTCGTGGGATCAGCATAATCAGCTGCAGTACAGGACACATTGATGTCTGTCTGCACATCCTTCCACCTGTGTTCCTCGAGCGTCCTGAGCCAGCTATTTCCAAGTTCTTGCCTGAGAGCCTCTAGTTGCCGTTTGTAGAAATCTCCGTCTACACTCCAGTCTTTACCCTGGAGTGCACGCTGGAGGCCAAGCTGCTGGTCTTGGGTCTGAAGAGCGGATGAGTCGCGTCCAATCTCAGTCCTTTCCGGGATCTTGGGACTTGCGGGTCTGGCCTGAGGTCCACCATCAGATTTCCATTGACGGTCGGGTGTTGCCGTGACAAACGGATCAACAGGTAATTGCACAGGCTGAACAGAAGGAATAGAAGGCACCACCGCACCTGAATCACGATTAACATCAGCGGAAGGCTTATCTTTTGGGCGATCGGAAATCTTCCGCCGTGTACCCTTCTTCCGACGAGTAGATCCAACATCGACTCCATTTTGGCCCACTCGTCCGACTGGTCCAATTTGCTCGTAAGGCAGCGAAGGCTCCTGGGGGACTGTGTGCAGGGGCTTGCTGACCACGGTAGAAAGATCTGCCGCAGCAGATCGTATGACGGGTGCAGCCTCGGGTTCCGCAGCTCGCTCCACCAGTTGCTTTCGCTCGGTGTATCCTGGTCCCGACCCATCGATGATGATGTCCTCGGAGTAACCCGGAGTGCGTCGGAACAAGTTGAAAATCACAACACGGTAGTTCGGATGTGTTTTCACAAAGGGGTTGCCAGAAACCCAAATCTCCCGTATCTCAGGGAGATTGGTGAGTCTAGCAATCTCAGTAGGATCCGTAAGGTTGTTGTCTCGGAGGTCCAGCCGTTCCAACGAAAGCAGCCTCTCAATTCCCGCGAGAGAACGGAGACGGTTCCCACGGAGGTTGAGTGCGGTTATGGCGGGAAGAGGGTTCCGCGATAAGGAGTGGAGGGATTCGATCATGCAATGAGAGAGGTTCAAAGCTCTCAAGGCAACCAGGGATGCAAGACTGTCGGGTACTTCGGTGAAAAGATTCGACGATAGATCGAGCGATTGTAGAGTATTGGCCACTGGGGCAAGGCCGGCGGCAGTGATGGAGGTCAAGGAGTTGTCGGGGAGGCCAAGGTGTCGCAAGAACCGCCACTTGTGTGCCGGCAAGACACCGGAGAGTAGATTGGAAGAGCTTGCGCTGCGGTGACCCGAGGTTTCGCTGGAGTTGGAACTACCTGAGCCAGTACGTCTTATTCGGGAGGCGGTTCCACGACCATGACGGTAAGTTGAGTGTTTCGAGCTGGTGGGACGTGTGGGGGAAGTGCTTCCGGTGCGTGGTCGAGCTTTGGACCCCTCTGATGCCATCCTGATCATCGAAGCTGCTTGGGGGCTAGCGCTGGATCCAAAGGTGCATCAGCAACCGGCGACCCGGGAGCAGAGAGCGACCCAGACAGCTCCGACTTGTTGACTGGCTGGGGGTTTGCATTCCCACTCCATCCCATCATCGGTGAGTGGTGATGCTTTGACGAACGCCGCCGACGTTTGTCAATGTCATCCAGCACAATGCCTGTGAGCAATTCTGCTGGGTCCTCGATATTAGCCCTCTTGACTGTCAGCGTCCGCAACTGCTCGGACAGCCTATCCCAGCCGAAGAACGAGCGAAAGTCTATATCAATAATCTCTAACGCGCTCAAATTCTTAAAGGAATGCAGTGGAACGGCGGTGTCAAAAGGGAATTCTTCGTAACCACGGATCAACCGGGCACGGCGGTCAGGGGCTAAACGCAGGCAGGGAATCTTGGTAAAGGCAGAGTATAGGTATTTGGTATCCGCTTCTAGAGCTGCTTTGGCCTTCTCGGATTTGGAAGCCGAGTCCTTGGAAACCAAACCAAATGAAGACCAAAGTGAACTCATACCAGACATGACGCTACGGACACTGGACACGGAGTGGATAGAGTCCCGGTCACCCCTGGATCGCTGAGGCTTATTCAGGAATGACACATAGGACTGCGATCCATCCGTGTGGATATTCTCCAGCCTAACATTCAGGGGACCAACGGCAATAGAAAGTTCTTCAAAGCGGGACAAAAGGTAAAAGAGGTGATGGGGGGTGAGGGTAAGTTTGGCAGGTTTAACATTCTGCGAGGTGAATTTCAGTGCCCCGAAGGACAGGGCCGCTGCAAGAGTGGAGGAAGCCGAGCTCGACGAGCCCGACTGGGTATGGGAGGATTGCGCATTTTTGGTTGGTTGGCGCTTTAATTGCAGCGCATTTGCAAGGGCCTTTTCGTGTGTACGAACAAAACTAGCGAGATTCTAGACGAAGAGGTTAGAGTTAGCAAACAAGCAAGCGTAGCAGACTAGAAAAGAGACAGAAGGGCCCAAATGAATGGGCATGAGGGGGCGCACGAACTTTTATGAAGAGCTGTCCATCTTCAGTGTTCAGCTTCTCCATTACGGAAATTGCTTCGCCCAACGAGAACAAAACTCTATCTGGTTAGGCGGACTCTGAAGAGGAACGCTCAAGTACTCGTAGTAGGGACGGCGAGAGTCGACATCTTGCTGGCAAGACAAAAAGCGAAAGAAAAAGACGACCTGCAGGATAGGAGAGCGAGCAAGAATTAGCCGTGACTCACAACAACAACTCAAAATTAGATAGCTAAGCCCAAGGCGCTATGCCTCGTAACTATTGTCAAGAGGAAGGAGACAAGGCTGGGATGTACCTCGAAGATATAGGGGGGTTGCACAATAACGATAAACTAAGCGTCGAACAAAATCACGAAGCCGCCCACCACAACTATGCTAGACACGAGGAAGAGGGAGGGATGGGGGAGTTGGAGACGAAAGGGACGGTCTCCAATGTCAGTTGAGAAGAGAAGCCTGTCACCGGGACGAAGCTGAGGGAGGAGGAAGAGGCGAGCTGAAGCAGGAGTGATCACCGAAAAAGGAGAAGATGAATGGGCTGGATAGAAAAAAGAAAAGGACCGGGGGAGCTAATATGCAAAGCACCACGGACCTTCGACTAGTGGACGATACGTGACGGGGGGGTGGTTTGTAGTGGAGGATTGAGAGGGAGGGAGGAGTGGGTATGGATGAGCACCGGAGCAATCAGCTGAGGGGGGGAGGGGCGTAGGGGGGTGTGGTAAGTGTGGTAAGCCCGGGTCAAGAAGTAATTGTTGTTGGCTGACAAGGTATGCCTTCGAAATTACTGTCGGGAAGAAGAGGGAGGGAGGGAGGGCAGCTCGGTCAGAAGAGAAACCAAGAGAAACCACAAGATGATGCGACACAGTCTCGAGATAAGTGCAGGTGTTTTGTTGGGTTGAACAAAAATATGTCAGTTCTGGTAGAGACGGAGGGAAAGGAGGGAAGAGGCAAAAAAAGGACGGGCTGGCGATACTGGGACTAATATAATTTATTATCATATAGAAATCTTCGCCTGTTATCATGTCCTGCTCTCCCTTTGGTCAGGGAGCCGCTGCACCGGGCGTCGTCCAGAGGTACATGCGTACTTGCATACGTATCGTACGGTACGCTAAGACCACGGCGGGTACGGGAATACCACCCCATAGTCAAGTCAAGTAAAAAAACAAAAAGATGTAATCGACTTGGGTCTTTTTGACTTTCTATTCGCCTTAATTTTGTCCGCATTGTTGTTTTAGCCCTTTTTTTACATCCATCAAATCATCGTGGTATCCATGAACCAGTCGGTGGCGACCGTCGGGAAGGGTCCGTTGTTAAATCCAGTTGTTCGTCAACTCAGCTTCGTTCCCTTGTCTACCGGGTCCTATCAAGAAAGAACTGAAAGCGCCCAGATACAATTGATAAATACGGACCCATACCTCAAATGACTGGTTAGCCTTCTCCGGAAACTCTATCTAGCGGGGTACTCTGGATTACTCAGTTGGACAAGGCCATGATGAATTGATAAGCGATCTCTCAAAATTTTGGCATTTCTCATAGTAGGAGTAGTTCTTATCGCGTTTCCCCTCTCAGTACCAATGGATATCCAAAAGTTACTTTACTGATATCAGTCAACATCGGTTTCAGGATGGAGCATACAGTATCACTGCAACGGTCAACCAAGGAGTGCCATTCTTCGGCTCTGGCGAAGAGTGGAGCAATCTTTCCGAATCCCTCGAAGCGGGTATCCCGATCGCCGACCCTTGGACTTGGCTGATGCAGTAACGGAGGACTAGTAGTATGCAACTACAACAATAATAGTAATAATAATGTTTAAGTAGGAAAGGAAAACTCAGTACGCACATACTTTTCGTTTGAAGGGCGGAAGGATTTCTGGGCCAATCTGGAGGTCGTAGAACGCACACACCATGTTGATCAGATTGTGCCAAGTAACTAGGAAACGTAAGTAGGCTATACTATTTTGTTTTCTTTTCTTAATTCTTTTTTCCCTTGACCATTTCGAAGCCACTGCAAGCCCGGCTCCAGTATGCTGCAGGTCGGGTGAAAAGTTTTTTTTTGTTTGGTTGTGTATGCTGGATGGAGGAAGGAGGGGGGGGTAAGAAACGGAATGAAGCGCAGTGTTTGGTTGAACCGGGCGGTGCTTGAAGGAGGACCCGCCTCTTGAGCGGATGCAACTGTGCCGGCGGTAACTGGACGGACGATGTCAAGTCGCCCCGTGATTGGCGGTGGGTCCCCAAACGTGCAGCTGATAGCGCCCTGGCGGACATTCATGTACTTGCCTTTTCGACAAATCACAGGCGTTTCTCCAGCACCTGCATGACGCTTTACTCGAGAAGCTCTAGAGGATGGATTTTTAGCGACTTCCTCGAGGGCCAAAAAGGAAGCAGGAGGACACCGGCGAGAGCCAAAATAACATCACGGACATTTCTAGGGGGCTTTCTAGGATGTTACTAAAAGTATTCCGACCGGGATGAGGCAGCTTTAGATACCTACTAATACTTACTAAAAGTTCGTACCTGGGACTATACGTATATACCAGAAATGACCATACAGTAGCGGCTTCGAGATAATTAAAAAGAGGAATCGGACACATCGCAACTTTTGGAAACTTCTCGCCTTGTCCGGATGGAGACTCGCCCTGCATCCATCCATTCCTCCCATCCATCCATCCATCCATCGGTCATTGCCTGAAACTCGGAAAGACGTCTCTCTCTTCCGAGGCAGCAGAACAATTTTATGGAGCAACTGTCGTCTATCTATCTACGTGGTTAGTTACTCCCTTCAGTAAGACTACTAACTATGACGATTGATTAGACACTTACTTAACTTTTAGTTTAGTATTCATTAACCTAAGTACCTGGGTTAGATATCTCGCACTGACCTTTAACATTCTTGAGAGGCTCAAGTGGAGGTCTCAGTCTCATCTTTATGATCAACTGACCACCACCCATTACCGTCTACTGGATGATCGGGTCATCGGTCATCGGCCATGGCGAAGTGATCGCTCGTCTTGCTTCTTCGTAGTCCAACCTCTCCCCCCAGCGAATCATGCTCCCACATTCCTGAGCTTCGGGAAACGCTACGCGTACATAAAGCTGCTGGGAGCGATGATGTACTGTGTGGTTATCTCGATTGCGAAACCTAAACCTCCGTCGTGTCGCCTACAGGTCCAGTTCCAGTTCCATTTCACCATTTCACTGCTTCCCATCCCTCCCCCCTTCCCGCTGTCAGTCACACCGCTTACCGACCATGGTCCATCATCACACCACATTCTTTCTTCCGGTGCCCACTTCCCATCCCTCCTTTGCAATAACATCATTCGATCCATGGTTACCCTGCCCCTCTGCTATCTAGGTGGGTTTCATCATTTGCCGGCCTCGTCTATGCATCCATACAGAATGCCCACGTTCCTGTGATCTCCGACAATATCGATCGCGACGAGGGGTAGGTCTTTGAACTCTGTTCGATGACGTCCATGGTAGTGGACCAGATGGTCCGTGATCGTTGCCTTAAACTGATAGCCATAAAAATTTGGCAGACGGTTTCCGTGCCGTGGAAGAGATTTCTCCAATCCCTTCCAGTACACAACGCCAGTTGGTACGTATCTCCATGACAGCGGGGGGTTGGAAAAAAAAGGAACCTTTCGGTAGCGAGTTCATGTTTCATGATAATACATTCGCGACGCCTCCGTTCCTTACTTTCGTCGCAAATTACTGTTGAGGGTCGGGACCTTTTATTCTCTTGGCTTCTGGTGTCTCGCCCCCCGATCGATTTAGATGACAAGGCACCATCATTGCAGTAGCAGGATTACACACAGATGCCTACATGGAAGGAAACCTCCAGGTGCGTCCTAGATCGGACGTTGTTTATCCTGCCGCCTATAGATGAAAGGAGCGGTATTGCCAATCAGAAACTTTCTTTCCTCGGCGTTGTGGGCGAAGGCCGCATGCTTCTTCAATTTGCCATGCGCTGGGAAAACGCACGCTAGGAGTGGTGTTCCAGGTCTTGTTCCCTTTTTTTTTTTTCTTTTCCTGATCGATTATCATGCGAGGAGTACTGGAAGTGGCTCATCCTTGTTTACCCGTATCCCTGCTTGAATGGTGTCTCACATACTGGGGTTGAACCCTGTCGGCGACAACGTTGGTTACAGGGCAAAACATCCGAGCAGGCTCCGATGTAGGAATGCTAGGCTGGGGTGTTGTTTTTTTTTTTCCTTCGGGAGGCAAATAGTGTGTCCTGGTGCTGTAGATGGTTGGAATGGAGACCCGGGTTTGGTGTTTATTGCGGGTCTCCAATGAATCTCAGCAATGGGGGAGTGCACATGACCTTTATGACATCTGATCTGCCCGCTCGCTGGTGGAGGAATGGAGTCATTGTTTAGTCTGAATGATGGAGACCGTTCCTTTCAACCATTGATTGACTGATAGTAGAGTAGCAACGAAAACACAAGAAAGCCCGGGCCGGGAGTGGAAAACCGAGTGTGGATACGGGGTCACTCCAGTGGGATCTGACGACTCGAAAGGCGGGTCTCCACTGCAGTCAACCGCTCGAATGATCAGCAGTCGTTCGCGATTGTCGTCGCCAATCAAAGCCGACATCGCTGTCCATTGGCAAAAAAATTGCCTTCCCCGGTAACTTTTGTGTCCTACTATACTAGTGACTAACCAACTGCAGGGAGAGAACGCCAAGGCTGTGGGAGGAAGAGAGACAGACAGGGAAATGAATAGTGACCAGGGCTGTCTGTCTGTTCCGTCTCTGCGGACTCTCCGTACTTACGTACCGCACTACATCCTGTATGTATGGTGCATACAGGACCAAGGAAGTAAAAAACACCGAGGCGCGATCTTCATGCATTAGTTGAAAAGGTGGGAAGAAACACGGGCGCAGCTGGTGGTTGAGTTCAGTGATGGAATGATAGTGGAAAATTAGGATTGACCCTGATGCATCCCACCACTTCGGGAAACCTAAGCATTCAACTAGGTTAATGATAGATAGAAGACAAACGGCAGAGGCTTGGTTCATGAACCGTGGACGGTACTCGCTAGAGGGATAGTTTGTTGTGGCTAAGGTTCAACGTTAACCGGATCCCAGTGTCCAGGGCGGAAAAGCGGCTACCGCGCAACGGGAGAAAAATAATAACATTAGAAACATCAGTTATCTATGTCTGCTGCGTTGCCCTGTTCAGCTGAAGAATTCCGGTTTCGTGGTGAACAAGATGCATGATGTATAAAAGGTGTGGAAGCAAACCTGATGCTGTCTGCTGGACAGAAGGAACAAGAACAATCGAACGGAAAAAGCAAGTTACCTATGGAGGTGGGTGAGTTTAGTCCGCATGGCATGATGCGATCGGAGGATGAGTGAATGTGATACTAAAAGCGAGTTGGCTAAATTCAGCATCCAAACCCACCACTAGTACGACACCAGATCAGCAACATGCAAGAAGAACCTTCCAGTGCTGGCTAAACCCTATGAGTCTACAACATTGGCGGGGTACTAAAAGTATTTACGACTAGGAAGGTTTAGTCCGTAGCGCCAGCCAGTATAATCCGCAGTATCTGCAAATCATTCGTTTAACTGGATTCCTCCAGCCTCCGTATCAGTCATAGTTGGTGGTGATAACCAATTATCTACCACGACGCGCGCTGTCCCCTTTGACCAACCCCAGCATTCTCACAGACCACCCGGTAGAAGTCTCCGATTGTTGTTGAACACTTGGAGAGTCGGTAAATTTACCCCGCAATGTCTAGTTGCGAACGCCATCGCATCAGGAAGTCCGACAAGGGTTGTTCTGCGAATAGCACTCCAATCGAACCCATGCTTATAGCCATGCCTCGTGCCGCTTGCCACACCGATATTTTCATCCAGACGGGCGGCAATATTGAGATTCAGGCGGCTAATGTACGTAGGACTGTGCTTTTGGAGGGGAGGGGCGACGGTACTCTCTCCGGCTGGTGGGCAGGCAGAAACCTATCATGGAGCTACGGGCGCGCAGCTGAGCGACTCAGCTTCGCAACTCTACTGACCACCTATGCCACACTCATCGGTGACCTGTTTATATCGTAGTCCTGCGATAGGTTGTGAGGAGCAATTTCCTGTGCCTATCTCACCCCCCAAGTCATGCCGACAGTCTGTTTTTGCTTGCCGATCCCGCGTGTTCATCCAGCGTGTGCGTGCGCGATACACATTCCAATGCTCCCCAGATTTCAGCGGCAGGGCGTGCTCATGGCAGACATCTTATCACGTAATCCGGTGTTTATACATATCCGATGATCATAGTCACTCGGGAAGTGATTTGCAGGCTTCTTTGTCTGCAATGTCGATCTATCAATCCTACACGGGCCACCCGGACGAACAAGACAGATAGATAGACTTCAATGAACGCGTACTGGAAAGAGGGTGTGCTGGCACTTCGGTGATTGCGTGTCCCAAGTGCATGTGTGAGTACACAGTACAGAAGACACGGTGGATGTATAGCTAAGCCGATGCTTTCTGACATAACAATATGATGGAGCAGATATTGCTTCTTACGCAGTATGGTTCAGCTTCAGCCGAATTCTAGGCCTCACCGGGTCGAGCATTACCGTATTGCTTATTGCAGTCACGGATGTTTGCGCAAAGAAGGCTGAGCCCTACATCCCTGGGCAATAGTATGCCGCCAATGAAGTATGCAGGCTCTTCGTCTCGACCACCGGTGAGGCTGGAAGCAAGCAAGTAAGTAAGCAAGCAAGCAAGCAAGCACCACGAGGTTGCTTAGAGAGAATGCCGTCGGGAACTCTCCGCCATGACTATCTCCCAGATGGGACTAGTGTATATTTCATCCTTGATTCCTGAGGCTAGTCCACATTTGTAAGCCTGGTCAAAGTGCCCAGCCCCACAGACCCAGCCACACCCACTCGACGTCACGAGACCTAACAAAGTAATTAGTGGCACCAGTGACTTGAGGCGGTGTCAGTCAACTCTCTCTGACGTCGATGTCTTGTCCAGTGCGCGTCACTGATTCTCGTCACAAGGATTATCTTTACTCCCACCCCACCACACATATCCCGACCTCTAACCCAACATGCATTATTATCATCAATCATGAACGGGGCGGAAAAGTCTGCAGCTGGTGACACCTACGATCCCAGTACGATACCGGATTACGACCGAGAATTCATCCATCCCGATGACTTGCGCCAATTCGAGCTTGCCTTGACGGACCAGGGCGCGTCACCGCTGGTTGCCCTCAACGACTGGCGCCCCATCTACCAACGGGTCAGGCGCGAACGTGGGCGCCGCAAAGAGCCTAGGCGGACCAAGGATGAGACCAGAGAAGGTGTGCTATACACAGTTCTGAAGTGGCCCTTTTTGTTCACCGTCTTTGGTTGGATCACGGCCCTCGCCTTTGCCTACACACTCACCCGCGTTTACATCTTCCTGTATGAGCAGTGGGTAACATGGCGGGGCAGAAGACAAAGCCTCAGAAGGCAATTACACGCGCAGACCAATTACCCCGACTGGCAGAAAGCCGCACGAGCCCTCGATGATCATCTGGGGAATCAGAGGTGGAAGGAGATCGACGAATACGCCTACTACGATCATCTTACAATAAGCAACCTAGTGAAACAGCTGAAGAAGGTGAGGCGGGAGGTGGAACGTGAAAGGCGTGAGAAACGTCGCGGCTCAGGCCAGTCGCCTGCAGCTGAAGAATTATGCACGCTACTGGAAGCGTGTGTCAAGAACAACTTTGCTGGAGTGGAGAATCCCCGACTCTACAGTGAGGCTTACTCCGGTACCAAAAACTTGGTACAGGAATACATCGATGAGCTGCATGCGTGCATACAACTGGTCGCAGACTCGAAGGGCATCACTAGCGAGGAGAAATTACAGCATTTCAAGCATTTGGACACCAACTTCGGACGAACCGCCCTTTGCCTGTCTGGGGGCGCTACATTCGCTTATTACCACTTTGGAGTAGTGCGAGCGCTACTGGATAATGGGGTTCTGCCGGAAATAATCACGGGCACGTCAGGAGGAGCGCTGGTCGCTGCACTGGTTGCTACCAGGACCGACGAGGAGTTGAAGCAGCTGCTGGTGCCTGCTCTAGCGCATCGCATTAGGGCATGCCAGGAGAGCTTCCCGACTTGGGTATGGCGATGGTGGCGGACAGGAGCGCGATTTGATACTCTGGATTGGGCCCGACAATGTAGCTGGTTCTGCAGGGGCTCAACCACATTTCGGGAGGCATACGAGCGAACAGGGCGCATTCTGAATGTATCTTGTGTGCCATCTGACCCTCACTCGCCTACAATCTTGGCCAACTACCTAACTTCACCTAATTGCGTAATATGGAGCGCAGTGCTCGCGTCTGCTGCAGTCCCCGGTATCTTGAACCCAGTCGTCTTGATGACGAAGAAACGCGATGGGACACTGGCGCCGTACTCGTTCGGACACAAATGGAAGGATGGCAGCTTGCGCACCGACATCCCTATCAAAGCGTTAAACCTCCACTTTAACGTCAATTTCACCATCGTTTCACAGGTAGAGAACCCCTTTTATTATACCCAACACTGAGAACATCGAACTAACACCACCCCTCTCGACTAGGTAAACCCACACATCAACCTCTTTTTCTTCAGCTCCCGAGGCACAGTAGGCCGACCAGTCACGCACCGCAAAGGCCGCGGCTGGCGCGGAGGCTTCCTCGGCTCTGCGATAGAACAATACATCAAACTAGACATGAACAAATGGCTCCGAGTCCTGCGGCACCTTGAACTCCTCCCGCGGCCCATGGGCCAAGACTGGAGCGAGATCTGGCTGCAAAAGTTCAGCGGTACGGTAACCATCTGGCCCAAGACCATTCCCTCGGACTTCTACCACATTCTCTCAGACCCCAACCCGGAGCGCCTCGCCCGCATGCTCCGCGTGGGCCAGCAAAGCGCATTCCCCAAACTCCAATTTATCAAAAACAGACTAAAGATCGAAATCGCCGTCGTCAAAAGCCTACAGAAATTCGCGCACGCCGGCGGCAGACCGATCTCTCCGGCGCCGTCTCGCTGGCGCCAAAATAACGACCCGGATAACCACTACAATCCAAGCCCCCGCACCGATCCCCTGAACGAACGCCTGGACCACAACCTTCCCGAACGACGCGGGGACAACGTTAACATCACATTCGGCGAGGGCGGCGGCAGAGAAGATACGCATTTACTGGACGGATCGCTGTCGGAGAATTCATCGAACGAATCTGCCGCGCGGCCGTCTTCTTCGTCTTCGTCTTCTCGGCTGCTGCGGGTCCCGGAACACCGTCGGGGTAGTACGGGGAGTAGTATCTTTGAGGAGGTGAGGCGACAGTCGGCGGTTTTCTTTGATGATGTGGATATGTACGGCGATGATGAGGCGCTTAGGCCCGGATGAGAGTTTATATTTCTTATCTCTGCCTGCCTGGTCTAGTATGGTCTGGTCCTTTTTGATGCGCTTTTTTAGCTTGCTTGCTATTGATCCATCTTCTGGCGTATTAATCTCTTTTAGTTTGGTCCTCCTTGGAAGACATTAGATCTTGATACTACTTGTACTTTATTATTATACATTACTTTCACTTACTAGCAGGTATGAAAGGGGGTGGTGCCAGTAATTTCATCTTCTTAGTTGCTCATGCATGTCAGATAGAGGTATCAAGGAGCACAGACTGCTTAGTAGTACTAATATAGATTAACTGAAGTGTTCTGCTGCATTTTCCATCTGCTTGCTTGATCATGATAGCAAATCTAAGCGTGTCAGGAAATTAAGAGTTGTTTTGAATTAAAAAAACTAATACATGTCCCACTCGATCACTCAATATATGTCGGCGGTAATGTACACCCCCGCTTTCGTAGAGACAACTATTTCCCCCATCTCAGAACTAAGCATTTTTCTCGGTCCCGATACAATCATGATTCCATATAGTATACACCAACTAACCTCATGCAAGCTCTTGAAAAGCATACAAAACAACAATTCCAGACACAACCATCATCCCCTACCGCTCCATCCAAACCCCCGCCTCAAACAGCGCCGACAACAAATTACTTTATCAATCATCAGACGCAAATGAAAAGAGATTGGAGTCCAAAAAAGCCGTATTTTAAGAACCAAGAGGGCTCGGCATAGTCCACCGTACATCCCAGTCGTAGCCGGCAAGATCCTGCTGGCCGGTGGGGGAGAATCGTGGCATTGCTTCCGTCTCTGTTATCTTTATTACAGTCGCTGCTACGTGCACATTACCCCAGCATTACTTCAGATAGGTTAGAATTTGTCTGTGCAACCATCTGCAACTGCAGCCATGGTAGCACCGCGCATGCAATAACACAGCATGCTTGGGCAGAGGGGGTTGCGTGCCTGCAGTTTGCCATCAATCTCTAATGTATATATGCGATCTTGCTCTCAATATCTTCGATATGAACGGTCAGAGGGACATTTCAGGTACATCACCGTAATGTTACCCCGATCGATAACGGAGTATAGGAAGTGGCTTTTATCCCAGTAGGCTCGCATCAGGCCGTTGGCAAGATCCCGCGGCAAAAACAAGGAATAACGCCGGCTCTTCATAGCCTGATGAAGATGCTTTAGTCTCTAACTGTGCGTCTGACTCTTTGTATCAGCCGGCGTTGCGTCGATATTCATCATCACTCAGGGGGAAAAAAAGGGAACTCCGTCATAGCAGGAGCAAGTGGCTGGGTTATTCAAGGAGGTCAGGGATGATCACTGAGGGACTACTGGTAGAACCGAAGTACTACTACTACTACTAGGTATATCACCGTTCAGTTCGGAATGACTGGGTCTGGCGGACTAAACCCTGTTTGGCAAAGTATTGTCCTCCGATTCTATGACTGCATTGATTGTATATTTCTACTGGTAATCAAGTAGTGTATCTTTTGTGGTTTTACGTGCAGCGGGAGGATCAAGTCATACTAGTATCAGGTAGGAAGAAACGGAGCGACTGACTCGACAATCTTGGAGACTTAGCTTAGTACTAAGCATGCTGCTATCAAAGAGTGAAAGGTATATAAATTGGCGTTGCTCTGATTCTGGCATTCTTCGAATGTAAAGTACTAAAAGAAGAGAACACTACTGCTATAAAAAGTATAGACGCGTGTTATATACCACACGAGACTATATATGCTAGTTGAACAAGTTGTAATGTGAGAGGATATAACTATGACTATCATCCATTCTAAGGTGCGCAAAGTGCTCCATATAACAAACTTGGCTTGTAGATGGAATTTAGTGTCGTATCACTGACTTCCTCCTCCTCATCTATCATTACCCCGTGGAAACCAAGCATCTAGATCCACTACTTTGACTGCACTACATCGCGCCAATTCCAATCCAATCTATCTTAGGACTATATGATACTAACCATGCCCACTAATAAATACCTAGTGATTTTATACTCTCAAAACAGTATCGCAGTATTACTAGATACACGAGGTAGTGTATTTCAGACATACTAAGCGTAACAACAAAACTTTTCTTCCTATTCACACGAAATCATGTACCGGTAACTTACTACTCGATAAAACCAGCTGGCTGTTTGCGCCAGAATTCGCCACGCAGACATTACCACACAAACAAACACAAACCCCATGTTTGCTGCCGACGATGATGTTACTCTGCATAAGGCACACACATACATACTATGCAATCATGTGTATGGGGTGGCGCCCCCCACCCC